GGAGTGAGCAGAAGAAGCAGCTGAAAGGCCACAGAAAGGGCTGTTTCCAAGCCAGGGTTTAGGACTTCTCAGCTGGGTCAGGAGTTTAACGAAGCATCTAGAAGGCTGAGGTGGGCAAGAAGTGACCTCCCAGCCAAGGGACCTCCATGTCATGAAGGGAAAGGCAGGTTGGATGGGGCTTGGAGCAGCCTGGGCTGCTGGGAGGTGTCCCTGCCCATGCAGGGGGGGCACTGGGTGGGCTCTGAGGTCCCCCCACCCAACCCATCCCATGGTTCTGTGATGGTGGGCAGGAGGGGAATGTCCATCTCTTGGCATGTCTTTCCTCATGGAGGCAGGAGAAGGGGGGACCCAGAACAGCAGGATTAAGGCTGCTGGGATTTCCAAGGTGGGAAGTGTTTTATCTCATGTAACTTCCTTGTAGTTGGTACCAAGTTTAACCAAACAGTCCAGATTAGCCTGTGCAGAACCACGGGATGGGTTGGGTTGGGAAAGACCTTCAGGATCATCCAACCCACCCATTCCCCAGCCCTGCCCATTCCCCACTGCCCCGTGTCCCTCAGCACCATCCCCAGGGCTTGGAAACCCCCCCAGGGATGGGGACTCCCCCCCTGCCCTGGGCAGCCTGGGCCAGGCCCTGCCAACCCTTGCCAGGCAGGAATTGTTCCCCAGATCCAACCTCAACCTCCCCTGGCACAACTTGAGGCCGTTCCCTCTTGTCCTGTCCCTTGTTCCTGGGGAGCAGAGCCCGACCCCCCTGGCTCCAACCTCCTCTCAGCAGCTGCAGAGCCAGCAGGTCTCCCCTCAGCCTCCTTTGCTCCAGGATCAGCACCCCCAGCTCCCCCAGCCTGCTGGTTCCTGCTGGGGGGTTGCAGGTCCTGCAGGACAAGGTGCAGGGCAGGCAAAGCTCCACCTGATGTTTGGTCTCTTCTCTCTGGGTTTTTCCCTCAGCTTGGCCTGTCTCTGCTCGGGGTCCAGCAGGGCTCCCAAACTGGGATCTTCTTCCTTTTCCTGCTCTTCCTGCCACGGCCTGAGGAGCTGACAGGGCAGGATGTTCTCACCCAGGACTAGGCTTCTGAATTCCCTGGTCCCTTTGCCTGGTGCCTCTTGCTGGGAGCTCAGCCCCCCCAGGCCCAGGGCTGCTCCAGTTCCTGCAGGAAGGGTTGGCAGAGCCTTTCAAACTGCAGCTTCATGCTGGGGTCCCAGCTGCCCCCTGAGCAGGGCAGGGAGGGCTGGGATCCTCTCCAGACACACTCAGGTGTCAGGAAATGGGCACTGGCTGCAATTCTGGCAAGAATTCAAACAAGGAGCATGAACTGATGGGTTTTATTCCTTTCAGGGACTGGGGGCAGGTTGTGCTGTGCTTGTCTGGTAGGGCTGGAAGGCAAAGGGGTAAGATCCCAGAGGGAAGCAGGACACTGGTCCATGCCATGGACAGAGCATCTCCCTCCAGCTGGGACAACTGTCCCATTCCTGTTGGGTTTTCCTCTCCCTTCCTGGCTCCATGATGGGCTGGCTGAGCTGCTCCTGCCCTGCCCAGGACACTTCCAGAGTCACTGGTGCTGGGAGGGCCTGGGGATGGGAAGGCTCTGGAGGGCAGATTGACAGATGGTTCCATAGGCCTGGGAGTAGCTGCCCAGGGAGGCTTTGGGATCCCCAGCAGCTCCCACGTTTGCTGTGATCTGGAACATCTTTTTGCTGGACTTGGGGAGGGGCCGAACATCCTTGCTGGGAATCTGAGGGTTCCTGGGGTTCTGCACGAGGAAGCAAAGTTCATTAGTTACCTGTAATGACCTGAAATACACAGGGGAACCCAGGTTGTTCTTCAGCTGAGGAGCAGGAGAGCCCAGGAATGGGACAGGAATAACAAACAAAGCAGCCTGGTGGGGATGATCAGAGCAGGAGGGTGGAAGGATGGGAGGGAGAAGGGCTGAGCCAGGCAGCCAGAGTCAACAAACTAATCTCAGCCTGGAGCAAAGGTCCCAAGGCCTGTTTGGCTGGTGTCTGGTTTTCAACACCCTGAAAGCTTTAAATGTGTGTACAAAACCAGAGCAGCAGCAGCAGCAGCCCCAGTGGAGCCTCCTGGGTCCTGCCAAGCACAGGGCTTGGGATCCAGAGCTGGGAGCTGCTGGGGGTGACCAACCTGGAGAGGAGAAGGCTCCAGGGAGACCTGAGAGCAGCTTCTAGTGCCTGAAGGGGCTCCAGGAAAGCTGGGGAGGGGCTTGGGACAAGGGCAGGGAGGGATGGGAGCAGGGGGAAGGGTTTCCAGCTGGCAGAGGGAGCTGGAGCTGAGATGGGAGGGAGAAATTCTGGGCTGTGAGGGTGGGGAGCCCCTGGCCCAGGTTGCCCAGGGAAGCTGTGGCTGCCCCATCCCTGGGGGTGTTGAAGGGCAGGTTGGATGGGGCTTGGAGCAGCCTGGGCTGCTGGGAGGTGTCCCTGCCCATGCAGGGGGGGCACTGGGTGGGCTTTGAGGTCCCTCACTGACAATTCCATGATTCCATGGTCTCCTCATGCCCAGGGCTGAACTCAGGGTTGTGAACTTCATTAAGAGACAAAGCCACCCCAGATGTAGGCACTTCAGACCTGCAGGTTCCTGCAGGAGCTGCCCCATGGGGGGCAGGGGGGGGTTCTGCCCCCAGTGCTGGGACAGGCTCAGATGCTTTCCTGCCCCTCTGAGCAGCACGTCCTGCCTGTCCTGTCAAGTCTTTACAGAGGTGAAAATGAAGATATTTTGTGTCTAAAATGTAATTTCAGTCCATGAAGAAGCATTTTGGCCCATGGAAAGTTGAAGGACTAGTTTGATTTTGTCAGTGGGGCTGCAACTCACATTGCAAAGGTTCTGCCCATCCCAGGGGGGCAGCCGAGGGTTCCCCCAGGGGATTTGTGTCCCCACTTTCCTGCTGTTGGGGATTCCAGCCTGTTGGTGCAGAGGTGCAGAGCAGGTCCTGGTCACAGCACCAGGGTGGGCATCCCCTGCAGAAGACCCAGAGAGTCATGGGATGGGTTGGGTGAAAAGCCCTTTAGGATCCCCCAGCCCTGCCCATTCCCCACTGCCCCGTGTCCCTCAGCACCATCCCCAGGGCTTGGAAACCCCCCCAGGGATGGGGACTCCCCCCCTGCCCTGGGCAGCCTGGGCCAGGCCCTGCCAACCCTTGCCAGGCAGGAATTGTTCCCCAGATCCAACCTCAACCTCCCCTGGCACAACTTGAGGCCGTTCCCTCTTGGCCCAGGGCTTGTTCCTGGGGAGCAGAGCCCGACCCCCCTGGCTCCAACCTCCTCTCAGCAGCTGCAGAGCAAAACATCTTGTAGAAAGGAAAAAACCAGGAGAGAAAGCAGGAACAGCCCAGGGACACAGACCCCGGGGCTCAGGCTGCCCCAGGCACCTCCCTCATCTCACTGACAGGACCACAGGAGGTTGGGGCTTGGAAAGGAATCTGCTGAAAAGATTCAGGGTAAAATTCAGAATGTAGGAGCATCCAGCACCAGTTCAGAGGGGTAAGGAGAAGGGAACAGCAGAGGGGAAGGAAAGGGAGAACAAAGCAGGAGGGAGCCTGTCACAAGTGGATACTGGGGGCTCCCATAGAGCCCTAGAGAATGTCACTCAAACCTCATTCACAGAATCAGAGGGTGGTGGGGCTGGCAGGGACCCCTGGAGACCCCCCCTCCCAGCCCCCAGGGCAGGGTCACCCCCAGCAGGTCCCACAGGAGCCTCCAGAGGGGCTGGGGTGTCTCCAGAGAAGGAGCCTCCACAGCCTCTCTGGGCAGCCTGGCCCAGGGCTCTGCCACCCTCCCAGGCAACAAGTTCCTCCTCCTGGGGAGCTTGACCCTCCTGTGCTCCAGCTTGTGCCCATGGCCCCTTGGCCTGTCCCTGGGCAGCCCTGAGCAGAGTCTGGTCCCCCCCTGCTGACCCCCTGCAGATCCTGCTCAGCCTTGAGGAGACCCCCCCTCAGGCTCCTCCTCTCCAGCTGAACAGCCCCAGCTCCCTCAGCCTTTCCTCCCAGGCAGATGCTCCAGCCCCTCAGCACCTTGGGGGCCCTGCCCTGGACTCTCTCCAGCAGCTCCTTGGCCTTCAGCCCCTGGGCAGCCCAGAGCTGGGCCCAGCTCTCCAGAGGTGTCCCCCCCAGGGCAGAGCAGAGGGGCAGCACAACCTCCCCAGACCCACCACCCACCCTCATTCCACAGAGCTCTGTTCTCATTTTCCTCCCGCAGTTTCTCTTCCTCATTCTGCCACAGAAACCCTTTCATTTCCCTTCCCCAGCCCATCCTTTCCCCCCCTCTTGCCCCCCAGGACCCCCAGGAGGGCCCAGCACCCACTCTGGGCAGCAGTGTGGGTGATGGGGTTGTAGACCACGTTGATCTTTGCTCTCTGGCAGAAAGTTCTTGCTAAATCTTCCTCCTGTTTGGCTGCTCCTGGCTGGGCACTGGTGCTGGTCCCAGCAGGCACCTGGGAAGGTTTTGGAACAGGGGGGGTTGTTTCTCTTGGGCCTTTCCTGGGAGCTGGGGGAGGCTCAGGTTGCCCCAGGGGGACGTTCTCCCTCTGCACTTGCTCCTTTGGACGGTCCCTGGATTTCCTGTCGAGGATCATCTGCAGGGGGGGAGAAGCTGGTGAGACCTGAAGAGCCACACAGCACAGGAACCAACTGGGGGAAGACTCAAAAATCACTGCAATTATTTCCCTGGATGGTAAGAACCTTCCCAGCCTGTCCCAGAGCTGCTCCAGCCCTCCCAGCATCTCCGGGGCCTCCTCTGGCCTCTCCAGCAGCTCCGTGTCCTCCCTGTGCTGGGACCCCAGAGCTGGGCACTCCAGGTGGGGACACGGGGTGGCAGGAGCCTCCCCTCCCCTCTCCTGAGGGACCCAGCACAACCCCCTCCTCTGCCACAGCCTTTCTCTGCCTCCACCTTCCATCTCCCTGCTGGGAACCCCATCCCAAGCCCTGTCTGAGGTCAGGAAGGGGCTGAGAAGCAGCAGCAGATGTTGGCACCCATGTCAGCCCCCGGGCACGGTGGGGATGGGGGGTCAGGGAGCAGGACTGGGAGGGTCTGGGGGGGTACCTGGTACAGCTGGTTCCGATACTGGGCCACGGGCAGCTGGACATCATCACCCAGGGGCAGAACCACCTCGTGGCCCAGGGAGGGCTCCTGGGCAGGGCAGTGGAACCTGAGGTGACCACACACAGGGTCACTCATTAACCAGCAGCACAGGGGAAGGTCGAGTCAAAACCGAGCGTGGGATCATCTCCTGTGAGCTCAGGGACCAGAGGTCGTGGGATGGGCTGGGTTGGAGGGACCTCAGAGCCCACCCAGTGCCCCCCTGCATGGGCAGGGACACCTCCCAGCAGCCCAGGCTGCTCCAGCCCCATCCAACCTGCCCTTCAACACCCCCAGGGATGGGGCAGCCACAGCTTCCCTGGGCACCCTGGGCCAGGGGCTCCCCACCCTCACAGCCCAGAATTTCTCCCTCCCATCTCAGCTCCAGCTCCCTCTGCCAGCTGGAAACCCTTCCCCCTGCTCCCATCCCTCCCTGCCCTTGTCCCAAGCCCCTCCCCAGCTTTCCTGGAGCCCCTTCAGGCCCTGGAAGCTGCTCTCAGGTCTCCCTGGAGCCTTCTCTTCTCCAGGCTGAACAGACCCAGCTCTCTCAGCCTTTCATGGAGTCCCAGAATCCCAGCCTGGTTTGGGTTGGAGGGACCTCAAAGCCCACCCAGTGCCCCCCTGCATGGGCAGGGACACCTCCCAGCAGCCCAGGCTGCCCCATCCACCCTGACCTGGTTTTGGTCAGAAAGTTAAGGATGAGCTTAGCCTGGCTGGGCTTTTTCCAGCCTGCAAACAAAGAGAAGTTGTGCCAGGCCTGTGGGGAGGTGCCCGGGGTTTCCTCCCACCTCCTGACATAGGGATGCTCCAGAGCCTCCTCTGCTGACAGGCGTTTGCCAGGGTCAAACACCAGGAGCTTCTTCAGCAGGTCCAGGGCAGGAGGGGGAGCAGAGGGGGGTAACAGCTCCTCCAGCGTCACTCGCCGCCTGCGAGCCAGAACACAAGGACTGAAGGTCCCAGCCTGGGATTCCCAGCCAAGGAATGACTTCCAGCTCTGGGAATCACCTCCTGGTGACACCCAACCCCAGAGCTCACCCACAACCATCACCCTGAGGAGCTCAGTGGGGTCTCCAACCCCTCGGGGAGGAGTGAAAACCCCCCTCCCAGCACCAGGGACCTCAGGTGCCTCACGGGCAAGTTGAGGCTTCATCTTCTTGCAGTGGAAGTCACAGATCCCAGGATGGTTTGGGTGGGAAGGGACCTTCAGGCAGCAGCAGACAGGGGGAATAAGGAGCCTCTGGACAAGGAGCCCTTCTTGTGTTCTTCTGACAATGCAAGGAGCCCAGACTCCTAACCTGGGTGTTTCAGCTGAAGGTCCCATGAATCCAGCCCATTTATTTCTGTACCATTTGCAAGGAGAAGATGAAGTTCAAAGACCTGATTCTGCATTTTGAGACCCTAAAGAGAATTATTATCAATCATCTCCATGGCATCCCCTGGACTGGCCCCCACGGGTCCATTGTCCTTCTTGTGCTGGCTCAGGAGTTGACAAGGTCTCCCCTGAGGGAACCCCCTCCCTTCATGATCAACAGAAGGCACCTCCAGAAGCTGCAGGTTGTTGCCTCTTCCAGCCCCTTCCTTCATCTCCTGGTCCTCAGTGAGAGGTCCCAGCTCTGGGCTTTCTCATGCTCCAGTTCCTGGCTCAGCACTGGTCCCAGTGTCTGACCAGCAGAGCAACCAGGTGCTCATCTTCTCTCCTAGAAGACACCTGGACACTGTCCCTGTTCCTTGCAGGTCATTCATGGGCAGGACAAGGAGGTTCCTGCACTGAAGGTGATTTCTGTTCCCCCCTCCTGTTCTGTGCAAAGGTTGTTCAGCAGCACCTGGGACTGGTGTTGTCACCACTGCCTGGGCCACAGACCCAAACCCCAGCAGGACACAGGACAGCACAGAGCAGAGAGGCCTCAGGGCTGGCAGGGACCCCTGGAGACCCCCCCTCCCAGCCCCCAGGGCAGGGTCACCCCCAGCAGGTCCCACAGGAGCCTCCAGAGGGGCTGGGGTGTCTCCAGAGAAGGAGCCTCCACAGGCTCTCTGGGCAGCCCGGCCCAGGGCCATGCCCC